GAGAGAAAGAGAGAGAGAGAGAGAGAGAGAGAGAGAGAGAGAGAGAGAGAGAGAGAGAGAGAGAGAGAGAGAGAGAGAGAGCTTTTGCAATCTGCCTTATGGTGGTGAGGGGAAACATGGATAATCACTTGGTGTAGAAGCAGAGAGAGCAGGAGAGAGGGGGATGGGAAGAGGGGAGAGTAATGGGGATTTATTGGGGAAAGAGTGTTCAGTTCTGTCTTCCTTGTGAGGATGCTCTGCCTACCCAGTCAACTGTATGTGTGTGTGTTTGTGTATAACATCCTCGTTCTTGTCTATTAGAATGTTTTCCAACTTGTCCTGCTAGAGTATTATTACATTATCCGCAGATCACAGTCTGTTTCCCGACTACTGTATCTATTGTGTTTCTATGTGGTGGTGAACCTGCAGCGAAAGAGTGAAAAAGGCTGCCGCCGGCTGGCAATTTCACACACAAGCCGGTTTTCTTTTGTTGGTGCTTGGCAGAAATGTGCATCTGGAAAAAGAGGCTTGGACCGACTGGCAGTTTAAGGATTAACCCGGTTAAGCCTTTACGGGTAGATTACCATGGAGCTAGACCCTGAAACCCCTGGGAGAGTGGAGTTCAGTTATGGGTTAAGCGGTTAAAGGTTAAGCCTTTGAAGGTTAAGCTTTTAGGGTTTGAACACCATCTGCATGCCGAGATCTGATCAAGATCAACTTGTCTGCAAGTACAAATAGACTACAACTGTGTTTGCTTTGTTTTCGAAGTTTGATTTCACCTGAAAACTGCTTTGTACTGCAGCTCTATGCACCTTGTTTTCCAGAAGGTTTTAAGTTTTATTTGGAAGTTTGAAATTTGAAAGTTGAAACATTTCCAAAAGAAAGAACTCATGCCTTTTTTAGAGTTTTTTATTTTTATTTCATGTGGATGGGTTTGAATACGTCCAGTGGCAGGATGCACGCCACTGGGCCTGGCCTCTTGGATGTCGCAATTGTAATTGTCATGCACTGAGGGAGTTTGTGTTTTTGCTTTTTCTTGAATTTTAAAGGTGGGGGCCCCTGGGGGGGTACTATGTTTTTAGGGAGTTCTGGCTCTGTTGAAAAAAAGTTGGAAGTTGAGTGGTTATCTAGTACCCCCCCAGGGATCGCTCTGCTATTATGGTCCATCTTTTTTTGCTGTGCTATAATGGTCCATCTTTTTTTTTAATTTGCTAATGAGTAATGCAGCAATTGATGACAGTTATTTGTCTTTTCAGAACAATGATGATGTCTGCTTGGCACATGCACTCGGATCGCTCTGCCATCTGCTGTCGAATGCAGTCGGGCTCCCGGATGTCAGTGGGGCAGTCGGAGGAGGAGGACGAGGCATTGAGTCGTCACCTCGTATGCAGATTCAAGAACAACAGCAACAAGAGCTACTGGTTTTCCAACTGCTGAAGCAATGTCTGCGCCGTGCTCAAGAGCTTCGACTACCGCATTTGGTGGCATTTAGTCGCCTCGCACTGGCAAAATTTCACATGACTCATGTTCATCGACTTCCTCCGATCGGATCTCAGAGGCCTGCTGCGTCAGGAGGACTTGGAAGCTATCCAATTGATGTGTGCAAGGTCTGATTACTGGACGCCTGCTTTCCACTTCTGCCTGCCGTTTCCTCTCCCATGATATGAAGGAAGATTTGTCATGCCTGTTTTGACTGCCAAGCATTACACACCCCTTGTTGGATCTCAGAGGCCTGCTGGTTCAGACAGTGTAGGCTTCTCGCACTCAACTACACTACGGTCTTCCCCCCGAACATATGCGACCGTATTGGGCTGGGAAAATAGCTTGTATGCATTTCATAATCAGGGTGCTTGTGTTTGGGGGAAGACCAAAGCGTGTTGACCCTGGTACCTGAGAGGCTTTAGCAAAGTGAGAGCTGAAAGAAGGACATAAAAGAGAACTTCACAGAAAAGTCCAAAAGTACGATTTCGGTCTGCCTGACGCTGTCTGCTCTTTTGCTCATTTGTTTTTCGAAGTGCAGCCTTTAAGTTGACTGATATAGGTCCTTTGGGACATCCGTTAAAATTGGAATGATACAGAGAAGATTAGCATGACCCCTGTGAAGGATGACACTCATTAATCGAGAAATGGTCCATTTTTCAAAGGGGGACTGATAGATATGTGGAAATCATACATGCGGCACATGCAGTGCACGCTGACCTGACGTACGTGCATCGTGTGCACTGCCTGTGGCGCACCCGTAAACCAAGGGGTCGAAAAATAAAATAAAATTGCAGGGGGTGTTCGAGGCCCAAGTACGGTCCAGCGTTGAACGTGAAACTGGGAGTGGATTTTTTTTTTGGGGGCCGCGCACAGGGCTGAATTTTTTTTGGGGGGTAGATCAGAGTATTTCGATTTTGAAGTGCTCAGACCTCCCCCAAACTGGCCGGCGGCACCCCAGTAGTCCTGGTCGCGCCCTGCTCGTGGGCCGTCTTTTGCGGCTGCCGTGTGTAGCCGTTCGTCGCCGCAGTCGTCGTCTTGGCACAGTCAGTGGGAGGCAGGCGGAGCCATAGCCAGCGCAGCTACAGACACCAGTCGGAAGGAGGCAGCGGGAGGAAGGCCGAGAGAGAGAGAGAGGGATCCATAAGTGAAGCACTACACCTCAAACAGGGCATGACGAGAGAGAGAGAGAGAGATCCGTAAGTGGAGGACTATTCCTCAAACGGAGCATGACAACAAAGAGAGAGAAGAAAGCTCCTCCCGCTGCTTTCTTCGGCTTCCTCCCTATCTATCTATCTATCTATCTATCTGTCTGTTTGCCATCAGGCTTGGATGGAGGCGTACTCCCACACCATCTCCATTGCACTGCCTTTCCTGCTGTCCATCCTCCTCGCTCATCTTCTTCATCCTTCATCTATCTCTCCTCCTCCTCCTCCTGCACCATTGTCTTTTCATCTCTCCTCCGCCATGCCTGCTCCCCATCCTCGACGCTCGTCTTCTTCACCCCTGGCCCATGTCTCCTCCTCCTCCCTCCTCTCCTCCTCCTACCTTGTCTTCTCCATCTGTCAATATTGTTTTCTTCATTGTCGAGAATGCTGTTGCTCCAGTTGCGACTACATATTTTTATTTTTAGTTTTTCACCACTCTAGTCTCCTCCTCCTCCACCATCCTGTTCTCCATTGCTCCGCCTTTCCTGCTGTCCATTCTCCTCGCTCCTCTTTCCTCCTTCGTCCATCTCTCGTCCTCCTACCCCCTCTTCTCTCCTCCTCCCACGTCGTATTCTCCATTGCTTCACGTGCCCTTCTTCATCATTGAGAAAGCTGTCGCTGGAATCACATCTATCATTTTTTTTTCTTTTTACTTCTACCCTGCTTTCCTCTTCCATGTCCACCATTGTCTTCTCCATCTCCCTCCGCCTTTCCTGCTCCCCATCCTCATCGCTCCTCTCCTTCATCCCCCATCCATCTGTCCTCCTCCTCCCTCCTCTCCTCCTTCTACCTCATCTTCTCCGTTGCTCCACCTCCCTTTCTTAATTGTCGAGAAAGCTGTTGATTCCTCATTGCTCCTTCTCCATCTCTCCTCTGCACTTCCCGCTTCCCATCATCATGGCTCCTCTTCTTCAGCCCTTGTCCATCTTTCCTCCTCCCTCCTCTTCTTCCTCTGTGGCTCCACTTCTTCCTCCCCCGCTGGAAACCAAAAGAAAAAAATTCAGGCTGCACGCACCACACGCACATGCGGCCGGCCTGCGTGCACTGCCAAGCGCATCTGCGCGCAGCGCACCGGGCAGGCGCGCAGCGCATTGCGCATTGCGCACCCTCCACCCGGATGCGTGGTGCGCTACGATGCGCACACATTGCCGATCCGCGCATGGCGCATGGCGCACTGCACTGTGCAGCACACAGGCCTGGTGCGCCACAAGTATGGTGGAAATATGTATGTATATTTTTGTAGAGAACTGCCTGGAGAATTGTAGGAGGAAAGGGATAAAAGGACAAGAAATGGAGGGACCATGACAGACTTTGCAGTCAAACTTTTTTGATGCATATTTATATTGTGTATTCACTCCTTAATTGTCCTTTTATCCCTTTCCTCCTACAATTCTCTGAAGCTTTGATCTCACTGATACCTACCAGCAATCTCTGTTTTTTCCTCACTATGTTCTGTTTACTGCGGCATATTGCTCTCAGTGAAAATGTTCTGTTATGACATGCAGTTGTGTGGGCACCTGGTGCGGAACCGTCCAATCGTCGTGAGCCCTGCACCAGAGACAGAGAGTAAAACGGGAAAGCTGAAATGCGGAAAAGAAAGATCTATGTCAGTATGTCTTACACTGTGTGCGCTTTTCTTCATTTGTTTTGCAAAGTGTTTTCTTCCAGTTGATAGGTATGTGCCAATGTGGCAGTACAGACATTAAAATGAAAAAGAAGTTTTGTTAAAAATAAGGAATGTTGGGCTTCAAAAGTTCAAACCCCATAACAAACACCCCCTGAAATATAGCAGAGACACCCAAGTGCTTATTCAGGCAGTTGTCCCATTTCCTGAGGGCATACCTCTCAGAATCATGAGCTTCAGAGATTGCGTATGGTGCTCTGGTAGTTACGCTCGCTGCGTGAAAAAATATATAGGTATCTGGTAGGTATCAGTGAAATCAAAGCTTCAGAGATTGCTGTATGTGTCATTGTGTGTGGTGTGCAGTCATGTCGAGGCTGCACTCGCCGTATGGAGGTGGTTTATCGCCAGTTACTCCTTGTGAAGGGGTACCTGCTGATTCATCATCTTTTTACTGCAGATGTGAGTCAAACAAATGGCTGTGGGGGCATTCCCTGGTCAACCATATGGATGCAGGGCACCTTGCGGATTTTGTAGGATGGGATGGAGGGGTTTTGGACAAACCATAAGCACACAGATGGCAGCTGGTGACTGTTGGAGGTAATGTTAGAACTTAGAATATTGTTCCACACTTAGGACCAGGCATCACTGCTTATATGCTCACACTATGAAAGGACGAACCTGGCCACTATTACAGCGGGGTTCATGCTTTCCAATCATGCACATGGCACCAGTGGGGCCTGCGCGATTAGCCTGGTTGACTACGCGGGATTCTTGTGGGCACACAGAGATTTTGGACTGTAGGTGGTGGTCCCCACAGGCTGTACCTGTTTGCTGAGTGCATGGTGTACCGCATGTTCTGGTGTTTGATGCAGGCTTCCTGTAAAGCCTCTGTTTTCTTTTGTGTGTGTGTAGAAAAGGGCATTTGTGGATCCAGGTAGGTGTCAAGTCCTCAACTAACAAATGCTCTTTTTTTGGGGGGATGCATGTGCATGTCAGACCATAAGTACTTCCGAGCCTTTCTTCCCCAAGGCAAATGTCCACCGTGTGCCAAGTTTTGTCGAACCATCGTGGGGCGAATTGTTTCTTTTGTGACTGGCGTGCACGACCCATTCCAATTCGAATGCCGTGCCCTGACAGTCACGGTGCGTGCATGGCTGCATTGCAGAAAAAAGGGCTTGGAAATGTACTGGTGGTTTACATGGACAGATTATTGGGCACTTACCACCGCCAACCACCTATTGGGGAAACTTGCACTCCTTATCGGTGAGGTGTGGATGTGGGGTGTTCTTGAGTGATTGGTCAGCAAAAGATACAGGTTGCTGAAACCGTGCTGTTCCACTTCAAGCCACCATAGAAATTCAGCAGTGAACTAACAAATCCCACAGTTATGCGTGATGACTCAATCTGATGCGGGATGAATGATGAGGGATGCATTTACCTCAGAGTGAACATGGCAGCTGATAGTAGAAGCGTGTGTTTCTCCAACTTTGTACCATTTATTTGTGGGGTTGGATGTGGGTTTCGTTTGGTGATTGATTGGGGGTGGCGCGCGCGCGCGCGCGTGTGTGTGTGTGTGTGTGTGTGTGTGTGAGAGAGAGAGAGAGAGAGAGAGAGAGAGAGAGAGAGAGAGAGAGAGAGAGAGAGAGAGAGAGAGAGAGAGAGAGAGAGATGTTGGGAGTGGACTTGCTGAAAGGAGGGAGCAAGATTGTAGGCAGAGGGCAAGGTGTGTGTACGTGCACTTTTGGGTTCAGGGTGGAGGAATGTGGAAGAGAGGGATAAGCAGAGAATTCTGTGGGAGTGATAATGGTAAGGTTCGTTGCTTTTTGAAATGGACTATTCACTGTATTCAGATCTCACAGTTAATTCCTCCTTTGTGTTCCGTTTTTTGTTCCTTCATCTAGTATCTTCGGCTAAGTGCGCTGCACTATGATGTCCTTGGTGTGTCAGCCCTTATGCCGGCTCCAGCTGGTCCTGGGGTAGGTCTAAGGGGACTGCACATGCCAGGAGGGGACATGTATGGGCGGCCTCCTCCAATTGGTCCAATGAATGTACCAGGTGCTCCTGGAGGAGTTTCCACTTCGGCTGCAGCATCTGCCATGGCAGCTGCCGCAGCCGCCGCAGCTGGCTCTGGAGGAAGATTGGGCCCAGTGGCCGGGTCTGTTGCGAAGCTGGCTGGGACAGCACATCTGTTGCGAGCTGCTTCATGGGAGATTTACGGAAGGTAGTGTATCGACTGATGTGTTGTCGCAATAAGTCCTATGTTGTGCATCCTGTTTGCAAAATCTGATGTGTGAATGTGAACACACGAAGCATTCAGTGCCTGCGAGCTGTGTAAATATGTCTGTGCCAGAGAATTAGGCAACTGACAAATGGTGCTGAAGATGGAACTTTTTCAACTGAATCTGGTTGTGAAGGCGACCAACTACATTGGAATGGTGTCCGAAAGAGAACACAGTGAGCATTTAGTGTCCGTAAAGACTGTGAATGTGTGTCCAAGAGAATCAATCAACTGACCAATGGTGCTGCACATGGACTCGATGTGAGTATGCTCTCAGGCATGTTGTATGCTCTTAGGCATGTTTTGGAACGCTTTGGTTGATGAGAGTGAAACTGTGAAAAACATTTATATGTTGAATGGCTGAACGGTACACATGTAGCTGTCAGTAAATAGATCATGAGTTTGAACACTGATGAAAATAAGATAAATACAATAATGTTAGCGCGTGTGAGAAAAAGAGAGTGATGTGGGGGCAGAGGGGTGACTCCGGTTTCCATCCCTATTTCACTTTTTAGCATGATTCTCTCTTGCTTGCGCTATCCTTCTCTGTCAATAATACTCTATATCACTCTTTGTCTGTCTGTCTGTCCATCCGTCCGTCCATCCATCCATCTGCCTGCCTGTGCGCCCGCATGCCCGAGCTCTCGCCTGCCTGCCCAGGCATCCGTCTGTCCTTCCACAGGCCCGCCCTCCCGCCCATCCATACGTCCGTTTGCCTGCCCGCCTGCATGCCCATCCATCC